TGTACAGATTTAGAGAGTGATCCTGTGGTTGCTAGGAGAGTGTTCCAGGGACCCTAAGGTAGTTCATGTTTCCCCCTTCAAGGTCAGCACCCTGGGACCGCCCCCCCCCCAATAGTTGGTGCAAAAATCTAAACAAGCCCAACCATGGGCAGAGGAAAAGGGATCATTCTGGTGGGTGGGGAGGAGAAGAGACTGGAGAACCCAGAAAAGGATGCTTTCTGGGTCACTGCCAGCCTCTGTCTCTCTCCCACTGAAGAATCCTTGCTGGATTATTATTGCATTACACTCATATCTCACTTGGGGTTTTTTTTTTTTTTTGCAAGAACTGTAAGGTGGCTTATAAGGTTCTTTTCACCTTGTTTTATTTTCACAACAACAGCTCTGAGCTGAGAGGCTGTGCCTGGTCCAATGTTCACGGCTGGTTGGGGACTAGAACCTGGATCTCCCACATAGCTGTCTGCCATGCCCAGCACTACCCCACATGGCTCCTGCTCGTGGCTTTGTTTCTTAGCGATCCCTGTAAGCCTCTTGGGCCATGCTATACACTCCATTTCTTCCTTTTCTTACAGTGTATCTTTCTACTTACAAAGGAACTTTTGATATGAATGGGACTAAGAGCTGAAAAGTGTACCTAAGGCAAAGGAGAGAGCAAGAAGCTGAAGTCCGCTTGCACCAGTTTTCCTGCATGACTGGCTTCTCCAAAGCTTCTTTGGATTCTCCAAAAGCTTTTAATTTCTCCAAAGCATTTAACTTCAGAGCTTCCAAGCAGTGAGGATGCAGACCTATCAGTAAGACTTCCCACTTAAATAAGGGCTACTTTGAACTTGAGATGAGTGCAAATGATCTCAAAATTCTCCTCCCTCTTTGTGGGCAAAGAAATTGGGAGGGCAATTCACCGAATATCTCTGAGGGGTGCAGAAATTCTCCAACCTTTTCCCACAGATAGTGATCGCCACTGGCAAGGGTGATAGCACAGTGGTCTTTCTGCCTTGCTTTTCCTAAACTTACTTGGACAGTCTGTTCTCATTTAGTATCCTGCACCGTTCTTCAATTCTAGCATCATTGTGGGGCATTGTAAAAGGTGCAGGGAGAAAAGCAGCCAAGCAGAAAAGCAAATAAAATAATGGTGAGGCATGTTTGGATAACATGCTCTAAAGCAACCATTTTTTCTAGTGAATCAACAAAAGAAAGATCTCAGGGCTTTTCTGAGGAAAAAACATCTTCTGACTAGTCAATTTTAGGGTTCAGTTCCTTAGCTAAGGCCACACATGTTAAATTTCCAGGAGATTATTACAGGTATATCTTTAAGGCAGATGCTGATAATTCTCCTGTCCTGCAATCCCCATTAGTGAGGACAGGGTTGCATCTATGTCCAGGGAAGAGGTGGAACAGATGTTGTACTAAAATCTGTCTTCTCACCCAGAAGTTTTCTTCTGCCATGAACGAGGTTTCCATTGTTCTTCTGTTTTATCTGGGTAGTTCATGATTTATTAGGAAATTATTTTGCTGATATTTGACCTTCAGTAACCTTCAGAATAGCTCGTTCTCTCTCTCTCTCTCTCTCTCTCTCTCTCTTGTGTTCACCTGCACTTCCTAGTGGAAAGAATTAATTCATAAAGTCATCCTTTAGGTGTGGAGTGTGAGAAGTAAAGGAGGACACACACAGACAGAGTGATGGCTGTACAATGAGAAGCAGGAGTTCAGATACATTTCTCAGCCACCTCATCAGTAATGTGAGCACAAGAAACCTGGAACTAAACCCATGAGAATTCCTCCAATTTTTTCTTCTTTGCATTTCTTCTCTGAAGCCATTACGTTCTATCAGATTTCATGAGATTGGTCCAAAATACTAATAGAGAACTTTCCCGAACAGCATGATGAACTTCTGTTTATCAATTTCCCTTGTAAGGAACACAAAAACCTAATGATCACTTTAAGAAAATTAACCCTTACACATAATTAACAGTAATAGTCAAACCTGCATTGTTAATAATCATTAATTATTCCAAAAAGACATTGTGGAGTTTGGTGTGTTTGATTCCAATGCATTTTCCCCATCAAATTAAATGAGAATGGGCAAATACATTTGAGATTTCTAGTACGGCACCCATTTGAATCTTTGCATTCTTATAACAAGGGTCATTCATTGGGTACGGCAGCTTATGTTGAAGAAGAGTCTGTGGCAAGTTCCCCGCTGTTTTGAACTGGTGGACGCATTTGGGATTATGCAAATATCCTGGGTGGGGCAGGCACATTGCATGGTGGGAAAGCAGAGCAGAGGGCCTGCATTTGTCCTTGCTGTTCAGGTGATAGGCAAGGTAGTGCCAGGTGAGACTCCTCTGGCAAGCTCCGACTCGGAAAAGGAACCCGTCAGGCATTATGGTCCTGCTCATGTCATAACTTCTACATCTATGTGAGATGCCATGTTTTAATTCATAGCCTACTCCACAGTTTAAATGAAGGCTGCCATAAATATTCTTTAATGTTCCTATTCACTTAGAAGGTAGCTGAATGAATTACGACCCCATCAAACCTTTACCGAACTTCATTATCCCTTTTCTTTCTCTGGTGGCAGCAGCGGCTTCCTCTCCTTGCCATTTCCATTTACCTTACGGCCTTCATGCTGCTTGGCCTCATCTGCCCACCCTGTCATGTATTCCTTTAGGTGGTGACAACCTTACGCTTCTTTGTAGGAATAATTGTGATAGTCTCATCCCATCAGATGCAGGAAAAGACATTGCAGCATCTCCTTGGTTGCCCAAAACAAGGGGATTCAATTTCAGCATGGATACCTGCAAGCAAGAAGGAAAATGATACTGAGAAAACCCTCCTTGATATTGAAAAATGAATACAAAATGTGTGTTCCGGTCCAGTATGCTCACAATCCTTCATGTGAGGCATTCTGACTTTCCCTTGGGATTTAGTTGCTTGTATTATATTGGAGGAAGGGCAGAGCAATCCAGGACACTCTAGTATTTAACAATCAACTATTTAATTGTAACAAACAATCTGGAACGTTCAGACAGTTTGAAATAATTACAAACAAGTGGAAAAATTAGCCTGGTGCAATCAGAGAACAAAGCACATCTCTCATCCCTGCTTGTCACTGTGTTCTTGAGAAGAAGAAGATAAAAATGAAGGTGCATTGGCTACTGCCTGGAAGATGTACATTTATATTAGTAAATCAGAGTGTTGTAAAACTGCTTGGATCATGGGTAATGCTGTGGGAGGGGATGCCAAATGCGACAAAATAGCATGGAAAAGACAAGATATGACTGAGGCTCTCCATGGAAACAATCCATGGCTAAGTGGAAGCAATCCATGTGGACTGCAGTGCCCAAAAATAAAAATGTTTCAATGAAACTGTGGAACTCACCACTGGGTTGCTGTCTTCATATCTTTGGAAGGCCCAGGGCCCAACATATTATATTTGTGCAAATGTGTCCCTGGGAAAAGTTGGATATTTGAAGCTGAGTCACTCAGCGAGAACATTGGTCTAGCTAGTCCTCCTGTGCCAGCTTCAGTGGAGAGAATTGCTCCAAGGTCTCATTGAATTGGCTTTCCCATTAGGTGGTATTTCCCCATTTAACTGGCGATGCCAGGGAATGAACATGGCACCTTCCACATAGAAAGCATGTTCTCCACTGCTGAGCTCTGGTCCTTTCTCAAACTGTTGGGAACAGAGATGGTGGAAGAACTGACCCCATTTGCATTGTCAAAACAGTTATGAGAGCCCAAATTCCACTCTCTTTCAAAATGCACACTTCTTCAAATTTTGTGGCAGTCTTCTCCAATCAAAAATGGAGACAAATATTCAATGGCGTTCCTGCATACAAAGTGTAGAAAATAAGCACATGTGAATGAAAATGATGTTAAAATGCATTACATTATGAAAGATGTTCACAAAACTGTTTGTATTAGGAGAAAATTAGATGAGCACAATGACGCTTATTTCCATGTGAACCATAAAAATTCCTTAAAATTCATAATGAACTAAATTCAAGATTAGAGATATTCTCAAGTTCAGGATGAGCCAAAACCCACATTAAAAAACAATAAACTAAGAGATACCAAACTGACACATTTGTCCTCCAATCCTAGTGGGGAAAGGATACGTAACATGAAGAAAGCACCTGATTCTGTGAACTATTGCTAAATGGTATCCTGCATTAGTTTCAGAATGTCAGAGATATCTAATACAGATAACAGCCTAACCTGATTTAGAAATACAAAGACAGTTTGTATTCTGATTCCAAATATACAGTGCTTTCTCTACATTTGATAGACTGTTTTAAACTTAATTAGAATTAAGTTCAGTGCATGACTTTGTGGGTAAGAATATACAAAACAAGAACTGACTTGATTGGTCATCTTAGAACCATGACCCAAGCAGAACATAGTTTCTCAGATCTGAATCCAAACCACAACAATGGGTTTGATTAAAGCCACATCATTCATTTCTATCCTGTTGTCAAGATTTTGGAAGGGATGCAGCTCAGCAGATTACATGTTTACGCTCATTAAAGTCCCACTTTGAGTCACTGATACCTCCAGTTCATGGGTCTTACTATCACTAAGTCCAACATGTCTGTTTAGCAACTGGAGACCTGGTTTAAAAGAGTAAGAGCATTGAACCACTGATGTAAATTAGTATAAGGTACTGATTTCTTTATGCTTCAGTTTCCAAGTGACGTGTTTTGGTTTGCCCACTGTAATTTTGTAGCACCCAAACTTGTGTTCAGCTTTGCTGAGTTCCACTACATTGGTTTCTATCCAGTTGGAATGCAGAATCTGCTGCCAAGGGAAGTCTTCCCCTTTGCCTCCTATGGATTGTTGGGAGTCCAGCTATCTGATCTTGGAGAATCTGAAAGGGCATCAAATAGAGAGATGATGGACTTTTCCTTGACTTGAGAAAGCTGTTTGTTGGCTTGAGTTAGTCAAGGATGAGAGAAGACTCCTCCTCGGTGAGTTTATTTGCTTACTGTATTACATTTCTATAGATTATCTCTGGACATTGAATACTTGTCCTGGAGGTCCAAGAGTTGGTAGTGATGTGAAGCCAGTGGTAAGGTACCAGACCCACGAAGTAACTTCTAAGCCAGAAGAGCCTAAAGGAAGGAATAGTTCAAAGAGCTCTATGTTCTCTTTCCTATCTGTCCTTATTGTTGCCTTCTGAGACTGCCTTATCAAAATTTTGCAAGGCCAAATGGAAATCCCATCCACCCACCCCAGTTTGCTGCCACAGAAGCACAGAGGGGTCTTCTCTGTGATGTAAAGCCATCATTTTCTTTCCTCAGATGCTCATGATATTATGTAATCACATTTTGTTCCTGGATGGATTCTGGGGAAGTAAATTATCAGTGGCCACCAATAATTACCTGCTAGGAATTATTCTGTTTTCAAAGTGCTGTGCAGTTTAAAATGATTGAAGCTCTAAAAGTGCTTGTTTAATAGCTGTAAGTCACCTGGGCAGGCAGTATTTGGGCTAAAAGGCAATGCATACACTTATAAATAGAATATCATACAACCAAATATGGGTGTATTGGTAGAAATAACAATAAGGAAACAGGGTGATCTACGCACAGGCAAACTTCCTTCAAGATGCAGTTTCCAAGCTGTCGTGGTGAATGGCTGCCATTTTCATTCTTCTGGCCAGCAATTCAAGGAGTGATGTGGACTGGTTAGGCTTCTGGTCCTGGGAACAGACATTTCCTGCCTAGCAGCAACGCACGCTCATGAACGGTAAAGGGCATGCCATTTCACACACTGCAGTGGCTGAGGTTATATTGATAACAAAGTAGTGCTGGTAATGCAGTATATTAGCCCTGAACAGGCAATAGAAAATTGAAAACTTGGAGCCTGAGCATGTTGGATCTGTTTCCTCCACTTCCAACATCCCCATGTTTATCAGGAGGGCTTGGTGACAATTAAACACGCTTGAAATGTGTAGACATGCCTTAAATGGAAAGAAAAACTCAGCGAGGCTCCCAAGTAGGATGATCTGATGTCTTCTTGCCTGATTTTTAGTTTGAACTTGTGCATGTGGGAGAGAATAACATTGTATTTGTTTCCCATGAACTGAGTCTAAGTTTCTCGAGCAGAGAAAGGATTGCAATGGTCCCACAACCTGGCACAATTTTACTGCATGTTCTATTAATTTTTTCCCCTGCACTCCCACCATGTTTTAAATATACACACAAAAAGCTAACTTATTTAAGCTAATGAGGAGGTGGAAGAAACATAATTTATTGAGAAGTGCTTTATAGCAATTTATCTTCCGTCAAACAAGTCTGTAACGACATCCTGGTTCTTCTTTTGAAGCCACAGTGAAAGAGACTGACTTAAGAAGATGAGAAAGAAGACATTTTCCTGAAATTGAAAGAATTAAAGAAAAAAAAATCAATGCACAGGGGAATGAGTTCAATCAACTTTGTGCCACTTCCGTGGATTTAAGAATGTACTTCCCTGACTATTCATCTGTCTTCGGGTATCTAAAGGGTTGTTGTCATGCAGTCTATGGTGCAAATTGGTTCCAGACATCCCAAGAAACCATGGCAAAGCATGGAAACCATACCGCAAACTATTTGTTTCTCTCCGTGGTTTTCAAAAGCCAAACTTACTGTGCTGAAATTCTGTGACTGGGCTAAGAGGACATGGCAGACCACACCAACAAAAGTTAAAAACAAACAAGCAAACCACCATGGCTTTTCATGGCATGTAAGCCTGGCTGTTGTGTTAGCTAAAACCATGGAAGGTCAGGCAGGGAAGACTTATCTAAATAAACCATTCTTGCAGTGTCTTCTGGAGGCACCAAAAAGAGAATTCCAATAGAGAAGGACTCCAAATGCTTCGTCTGATGACCTCAATGATCAGGAAACTTTTTCCAGATACCTGTACCTGTCTTTTATGTCCATGTCTGCTTAGATTAGAGATGGGCAAGTGCCTTCATCCACATGGCTTGCCTCATCATCCATTGGGTTCCCCATTCTCCTTTGAGCTTTATAGGAGACTGGTCAGCCTTGCCTTGCCTTGCCTTGCCTTGCCTTGCGAACACTTAGGAGAATCAGCTCATGTTCTGCTTCCAGTGAAGTCCACAAGGAAAATCCACTTTTCTTACACCTTGGCAATGAATGATGCTTCTGAACCGGCAGAAATTCCAGTCCAATCCAAGAGAGAAGTGAGACATCTTCAACTGGTTCCCCTGGATGGTGAATGGCAAACTACCAATTCAGACGTACACTGCGGATTTCTGAACTAGCAGAATTAGCTCTGGACCTTTTCTATTTCAAGATATGAAGCTGTATGCCCACTTTCAGCCACTTGGCTATGCTGCTTTGGAGGGGTAGGGAAGGAAGCTGGAGTGCTGTCAAGATAGGTCATCTCCTGGTGGTCTTTCCCCCCTCCCCTCCCCTCCCTTTTCTCCGGAATGCAGCACAGTGTTGGGTAACGTGGAAAAGAATGCAGACTTCTAACTTCAATAGATTGTGTCCTACTGAACTCTTTGGCACGGGCCCTGTCTGGTGTGACCCATTCATCTGAGCCATTCCTATCCCCTCTGATATTTGGCCGGATTCCCAACTTGGGCTGGGTCTTGAGGCCACCCATCCCAAGAACCCTTTGGAAGGTTCCACTCTGGGGAAAAGGGAGCTCAATGCCATGTACTCCTAAACCAAATTCAGTTCAGTGCCTCCAATGCCTACCCAAAAAGTCATGGCAGGTAAACAATGAGAAATGAAACAATAACATAATAGACAAATTCATGTCCAACAACATTACTATGAAGCAAAAATTGCCATCATCTTGCTATGGGGTAAAGCATGCGCAGGTGAAATTTCTTCCTGCCGCCATCAATAGGCAACCCAGCATAGGATAAGGCTGCAATGCAAATAGCAGCTTTAGAAAGGAGATCTCTATCCTGACATTGGTGGGAGTAAAGAATGAAAGGCCCATCACCACCTCCCATGGTCCATAGGCTGCCTGAGCTCCTACATGGCTGCTATGCACAAATGAAAAAAGAGTACATTAATTCCTGCACTTCGTGCCATGCTTTGTCTGGCTCAAAAAATGAAGCTGAAGCGCATTTGGACACATCTTGTGCAAATTCGTATGTCAAGGGATACAACTGGCATGATTGTGCATACGCTTTCAGGGTGGCCTCCTCTTCCACAGACACACACCATTATGTTAAATGGTGTCTGTGTTGTGGGGCGGGGGGAGGATGTAGCACAATACATGAGCCCAAATGAGAGGATCTCTCCTCATTTGTTCAGTGTTTACAATGTGTGTGTTTTTTCTTTGCACAGACTTCAGGTTGTCCAGGTGCTGAGTTTTTATTGCATGGACCATGCCTGTGGATTAAACCCGTGTGTGCACACGCACACGTGCACACACATAGAGAGAAACTCTGTTCCTGTAGGATCCACATTTTCTCCCTGCCCTAATTTACTTTGTTTATAGGCAAATGCTTTTCAGCGAACTGCAGCGATTTGTAAGCTAATTCCAAGCAGATGGTCCCAATTTTTCGTTCTCTCTGTTTCTGCCAGCTCCTTCATGTTTTATGTGATTAACACATTCAGACTTACTGGAAACTATCCCCTGCTCTTACCCCCACCCCCTCTCTTTAATATTTCTATACAAGGCAATCAAAGAGCTGTTTGGCTTGCATGGCTGATGGACCCTGTAGCCTGCATAGTGACTTGGCTCCCCTCAGTCCCATCACTGCTCTACAGGTTGTGCCAGGAGGTTGGCTATGGAATTGCTATCGCTCCCTTAAAAGGTAGCTCACTGCCTTGACGGATTGCTACGGTTTTGTGCCTTTTGTACCAACGTACCAATTCAGAATGGGTGAGCAGGGAACTATCGAAACAGATTTGGCTAGGCTACACCTTCTCTCAGAAGGCAAAAAGGCTGCAGCATGCACGTGTGTGTGTATAGAAACATAAAAACAGAGCGAGTCAGAAGGGGTCGCCCGGGCCATCTAGTCTGACCTCCGGCACCAGCCGGCTCTGCTCACGACATGCCCACCATGGGCACATCCAGCCAATCCTTGAACACCCGCACCGATGGGGCCTCCACCACCTCTCGTGGAAGCCCATTCCACACCCTCAGGGTCCTGACTGTCAGGAAGTGCTTCCTGGCATCCAAATGGAACCTTGGCTCCCTGAGCTTTGTTCCGTTGGAGCGCGTCCTGCCTTCCTCCGCAGGGGAGAACAGGTGTCTACCCATCTCCATGTGACATCCCCTCACATACCTGTATGTCGCCAACATATCCCCTCAGAGTCTCCTCTTCTCCAGGCTGAAGAGACCCAGTTCCCTCAGTCTCGCCTCATACCCCATCCCCTGCAAACTGGCCACCAACCTTGTGGCCCTACGCTGCACTGACTCTAACCTGGCTATATCCTTTCTGCAATGAGGGGCCCAAAACTGAGCACAATACTCCAGTTGTGGGTGCACCAGAGTCGTGTAGAGTGGTAGTAATACCTCTCTTGATCTAGAAGCCACACTTCTGGCTATGCAACCAAAGGTTGCAACCAAAGAGGGCGTTCGCCCTCTTGACCACCGCATCACATTGCTGACTCATGTTTAGCCTGCAGTCAACCAGTACCCCGAGGTCCCTTTCACAAGTGTTGCTCTCCAGCCACTTGTCACCTAACCTGTACTTATGACACCTATTCCTATGCCCCAAGTGCAAAACCTTACACTTATCCACATTGAACGCCATCCTGTTGTCTCCTGCCCACTTCCATAGTCTGTCCAGATCCTTTTGGATCTGGAGTGCCTGCTCCTCAGTTGTGGCCACTGCTCCAGTTTTAGTGTTGTCTGCGAATTAGATCAGCAGACTGTTCACCCCTTCTTCCATGTCCTTAATGAAAAGATTAAACAGGATCGGCCCCAGGACAGAGCCCTGGGGGACCCTGCTTGTCACTGGCCAACATCCCGATGATTTCCCACTAATGATTACCTTCTGCTTTCGGTCAGTCTACCATGCCCTAATCCACCAGACAGTGCTTTGGTGTATCCCAAAACTCCTCAGTTTCTCCACCAGGATATCATGGGGCACTTTGTCAAAGGCCTTGCTGAAATCCAGGTATACCACATCCACTGCATCCCCTCCATCTAGCCATCTCGAAACCTTGTCATAGAATC